ATGGCCGAGTTGTTAAATTACCTTTGATTCATTTTGGCCAACAACGAGCAGAGATTTATTTTATTTGCATCCAGTTGCATTTTTCTATAAATATCAAAGTTATACAGATTTATATTGACAAATGAACTAAATTTGGAAACGGAATTATCGAAAAGAGGTTAGTTTTGCTCAAGCTATGGAAGGGGCCTACGAGCGTGAAAGTTATACATTATGTCATTTTTGAACATTCTCCAAAGCTTTTTATACTACCAAAATGAATAGAATACTGATGAGAGACTCAAACCCAAAATGAGACTGATAATAACTTATGTTCATAAAATATTAATTAGCTCCAAAAAAGTATCTATTGGATTTAATTTAAATTAAATTTAAAATTTAATAACCAAAAAAAAAAGAAGACAGATCCAACAAGTGTAAATAATAAAACGCAGATTATGGCTGGATCTGACGTGTTGGATAGCGTTTCGCTGCGGGACTCCATAGATGCGGCTACAGCGGGCAGGGCGGCGGGGAAGTCCAACATGCGTGTGCGTGAGTTCGACGGGCCTCACTTCGGGTTTGGCGTAGACTACTTCGGGAACGATTCGGCTTGCCGAGCCACGCACACGCACCGTACGCAAACGCGTTGCGTGGGTCTTTTATTTAGCGCGTGCTCTCATCGGCCACTCCCCCCCCCCCTCCACCCCTCTCCCCTGCAGCACTTCTGCTCGCTCTGTTGGCTCGTTCAATCATCTGCTAGAACTTTGCTAATTTCGTCTAATCAGTTAACCTTGAAATGTTGTTGTTGTTGTTGTTGTTGTTTTTTCCCGGTATTTGTTCTTGTTTCTAAATACATACACACACACACACACACACACACACACGGGCGTATTGTATAACTTGTTGTTGTATTTGTATTTTTATTTGTTGTCGTGGAATTTGCGCGCGTTGTGTGCATTAATTTATTTGAGGCTCGTTTGATTTCAAGGTGAAATACGCAAAAATATAAGAATCAACCAACAAAAATACTATATACACATATATCGCAGGAAATTTGAAATGAAACAAGCACATATTTACTCGATCAGATGATACCCTGCACCCAGGTCTAAGGTACACCCGGACACATTTGTATTCGCATGACATTCGAGAACCTACGCATATAACAAATTGATAGGTTTTATTGCCACAGAAATCATTGCATTTATATTGACAGCCCCGAGGGGGGATGGCTAAATCAGTAGGCTTTTTCCACAAGACTATACATATGCATGTGATTTTGAGATTCCCAACTAATGAGAAGAGTTTGAAATGATGTGTATTTAAATAAGGGGAATCGCCTATATACATTTTAAGTTTCAAATAACTTTTCCATCTCACTCGATCTGTTTACCTGTGCTCCTCAATTCCTTAGACTTACTACAATAACATTAGAACTTCTAGTCTTGATTTGAATTCATGAAAATCGCATAGAAAGGCGTTGCTGCTATGCTTTGCATTCCTGTTAAAGGAGCATAGTTCCAGGAATTATAAGCAGCTGGCCGTTCAAATATGGTCTCTGGTTGTTATCGTTCGGCTTTGTTATCGATTAGTCGTCAATCTATTTTCCAACAGTTTTCTGCGGTTATTCTTCATATGTTACACATACGCCGCGTGGTACAGTTTGAAAATGGGTTGCGCTGTCTGGCTGTCGTCACCTTATCTATGCTTGTATCTCTTGTATCTCACTCTGCATTTATCTGCAACTCCCTTGGCCTTAGTTTTGACATTGACTTTGAAGATAGAAAATTTTCCCATCTTCCCCTCTTTCCCCCACTCTCACCGCCCCTCTCACTACCACGCGATCACTGTGCGCCCGTTATTTAAAATAAGAATATATTGCAAGAAATATATATGTATATATATGTATGTATATAAGCGCCCACTTTCGCCCATCCCCTGCCCGTATCCAGCCGGGCCTGGCGCTATCTGACTGTCTGTTATCTACACGAGGCACTCACGCTCCGAGCGTTCACCCGCTAGACGCGTCCCTCCGCCGACGAGCCGTCGCTTATTTCATTATTTCGCCAAATTCATTTTGCGACACTTATCGCTCAAGGTCACGGGCAAAATTCCAAAGCACATGCAGGCGGCGACATTGAAAATTATCGCCAACGAAGAAGAAGAAGAAGAAGCACCAGCAGCCGAAGCCCTATTAATGTAGAGGATATGACACATACCGAAATAAATATACTTCACATGAAAAATTCGTTTGGTTTTGTTTTGTTTTTTTGTAATTTCTGTTGATATATTTTAAATACTTATATTCATATTTTATTCACATATTCCATTCTGGTTTTAAAACAAACTGCATTATTATTTTATTTCACAAATACAAATTTCGTTCTTTTGTGTGTGAGGTTGCTCTTTGTCAGATTCCAGATACACCTCTATTAATATACCTGCCCGATGTGCACGGATATACACATGTGCATATGCATGTACTTTGCTCTTTGTCTTTAAAAACTGTTATTGGCTCAATTCACATTAATTGTTTTGTGACTGATGAAAATATATGTACTATGTATGTATGTACATATATATACTCGTTCTGCCAAGTATCGTTCTATATATATATATACATATATAGATGTATATTATGTTTCCCTCGGTTGGAGTTTATGTTTAACATTTACGTTTTGTTAATTATACGCTTAATTGTCGCAATTTCATTGTTTCAGTTGTCGCTGCTTCCTGCTTTCTCCTCAGAATACCCTATCCCTATCGATAGACACACACACACACACACTCACATACACACACAGACTAACACTAACAGTTACCCAGACACAGGCTGGCTGCTGTGTGCACTACAAAGTGTGTGTGTTTTGTTAATACATAAAATATTCCGTTTTTTAATACATAACTTTTTTTTGTTTTTTTTTTCATCGTTTTTGTTGTTGTCATTTTTTACTTGCTTGCTAAAAGTTACGGACAATTTTACACACACACACACACGCAAAAAACTTTTACATACATAGGTATGTACATATGTGTATGTATGTATATATATATTTATATATATTATTATTGAAGTGTGATATTTTATTTATGGTTTTTGTTATAACCTTCTTCTTCTCCTGCTCATAATATTCGACGATGCTTCTTCTTGCATAAATTTTAAAAGAATATATTTATTATATGTATATGTATATGTATTTTGTATGTATTTTAGATTTCATAAATTTATGCTTATTGTATTCATCTGTCAATCTCATTAATTGAAATACCAAAACAATATTTTTTTTTCATTTTTCTTTTCTTCTTTTTTTTTTTTTTTTAAATTTGATATATGTACATATATAAGTACATACAATACGATTGAAAATTAATTACAATTAGTATTCAAAGCGGTAGTTAAAAAATGAAAGCTACTGTCAAATTCCGGATTCTTTTCTTAACTTGCAACTAAAGAGCTTACCATACCTTGGTCTAAATGGATAAATAAATAAAAGGTAGAACTGAAAAACTGAAAAGCCAAAGTAAAAGTGAAATAATAAGAACTAAGGATTTTTCTTATATTTTTTTAAAACAATTTTCTTTTATTGATTTGACATACAAATTTCTGCGCCGGTGTTTGTTTTTTTTTCTTTGTTTTTTTTTTTTGTTGGTTTTTTGTTGCTTACCACAAGAAATAGTAATTAATTAATCATAAGAATTAGAATAATCATAATAGTACTGCATAATTATAATATGTATAATTAATGTAATAGTTTTTTGCTACCGCAAGTGTATATATTACTTTTAAATAATATTTATATCAATATTCTTCTTTTTTTTTGTTTTTTTTATTTTTTGCAGAGTTTTAATCAGCTGCTAAGTTTTGTTGTTGTTGTTTTATTTTTTTTTTTGTATTTTGACGCCAATTAAACATTGAATTGTTTAAGCATATTTTTTATATTTTAAATACGTTAATTTAACATTTAACTATGTACACAACAAATATGTTTAACGTTGGGTTTTTGCTGCTAAAACTCTTCAAGCATTTCTTTTAATTATTTTATTTTTTTTTGTTGTTTGATTTCATTTTTCATATATGTATAAGTATATGTATTTTTTGTTGGGGTTTTCTTCAGTTTTTTTTTTGTTTGTTTTGTTTTTAAAATTAGAAAACAATAAAGTTAAACGCTTATGATCTTAAACTTTTGTAATTCAAAAAAACTGAATTTTTAACTTAAATTTAGTTGAATTTCTCTCGCATGTTCTCATGTCAAAAAACAGCTTTTGTTAACGGAGATCGCAAAAAAAAAGTTCACACCATTTTTTTTTTATATTCTTTTGGGGCATTCAAAGAATTAGACAAAAAAATTGATTTAAATTTGCAGTTTTTTCAAAAAACATTTTTAAAAAGCAAGTAGTTGAACGCTTTGCTTGCCTACATAATAATAGTAATAATAATAATATAATAATAATAATAATAATAGTAATAATAATAATAGTAATAATAATAATAATAATTATAATTAAAATGTAAATATTATTTCAATAGTATGTACAACAATAGCTTAAAACTAAAAAAACAATTAAAAGAAGCATCGGAAAATTGAAAAGAAAAGAAAAGCAAAGACTTGCTTAGAAAATAGAAAATAGAAAACGTGTGACAAATCAATTTGAAAAGCATTTTGGCGACTGCAAAGGGAAACCTCTCGGAAAATATCATAATTTTCATTTGTGTGTGTGTCTGTTGTTGTTCTTCTTCTTCTCCTTATTGATGTTGTTGTTGTTGTTGCATTTGTTACTGCTAAAAATATATGGTTTATATGCATTGTTGCCTTTGCCCACATTTTAATACCTCGACGCAGCTGCGTCCAAATTTGTTTTTTTTTTTCATTTTTTTTTTTTTAGTTAATAACTTTTAGTTTAAACATTTAAATTGCATGCATTTTGAAACTTTGTACACTTGCTCATTGTTTTTGTTTTTGTTTTTTTTTTTGTTGTTTGTGAGTTTCTTTAAAGTTAAAATAATTTAATTAAATTTGTTTGTTTGTTGTTTTTTTTTTTATATTTTTTTGCTGGCTTTCTTTTTGTGGGATTTGTTGTTTTTTGCGCCGCATCAAATTACGTTTTCTTTTGTGTGGTCTCTCTGCCCCTTTTGCGGGTGGGGGTGGGGGGCAGGGGCGTGGCTGCTGCAGTGTTAAGGAAAGTTCGACCACGCCCCGCGCTTCAGTCTCTCAGCTCAGATCAGCTCAGTTCCGGAGCGACGCTTACGCCTCCAACATGACTTTGTGCACGGCCGGCACACCGCTGGGCGTGCTGCTGCTGCTGCTGCTGCTGCTGCTGGTGGTGGGCGGTGTGCCGCTGGGCGTGGCAGCAGAGACAGCCGGACTGCTAGCAGCGGTGACCGTCACATCGGCGGACAGTGTTGGATAACGCTGCACAGCATTGGCAGCAGCGACAAGCGCATGCAACTTACTTGGCGGCGGCGTCGGCGATTTCTTGGACAGATTCAGCGGCTGGGCAGGATCGGCAATGTCCACCTGCAGCTCGATCATGGGCGAGGCACGCGGCGGCGCTGCCACAATGCACGTAGACGTGGCCGCGCTCGAGGAGGCCGAATTGCTGCTGCTGCTGCTGGTCGAGTGCGGCGACTGGAAATACTGACAACTGCTGCCGCTGCTGCTGCTGTTGCTGGAGGTTGAGCTGGATGAGGAGCTGGAGCTGGAGCTGGAACTGCTGCCGTTGCTGTGCGGCGAGACGGACTGCTGTCGCTGCTGGCAGCTGGTGGTGGCCCAACGCGCCTGCTGCTGCTGCAGCTGCTGCTGGGGCGGCGGCGGCGGGGAGCTGGTCGAGGGTGAGGGGCAATGGCTGCTCGGACTGCGTCCGCCGCCCGTTGTGCTGCTGGCCGCTGTCGCCGGCTCGCGCATCAAATAGTTCTGTATGATGTCCGAGCGCTTCATCTGCTCGGGCGTCATGCGCGGCTCGGCCATCAGGGATTTGGCCAGGACCGAGTGTGTGCTGGCCATCGAGCCCAGCTGCTGCTGCTGTTGTTGTTGTTGTTGTTGCTGCTGCTGGCTGGGACTGCTGCGTGTCAGATGCATGTGCAGTTGGCTGTTGGCCGCCGCTGCAGATGCTGCTGTTGCTGCTCCTGCGCCGGCTGGTGGGGGCGTCTGCACCACACTGATGTGGGCGGAGTGGGGCGTGGGGCTCTGGCGCGGACTGTGCGCCGGCATGCTGGTCGAGCTGCTGGCATCGGCCTCGGCGGTCTCGAACTCACGATGACGCAGCGCCCGGAACTTTTTGTGCGGCTTGTAGGCCTCGTCCATCAGAGAGTTGGTATCGTAGAGCGGCGGCGCCTGGAGCACGCGCTTCAGCACCGGCATGTCCTCGACTATCTGGCGCTTCAGGTTGGCGCTGCTCGAGGGCTGGGGCGAGCGCACGGGCGACACGGAGACGCTCAGCTGGGCAACGCCCGCCGCTGTGGCCGCCTGGGCGGCATCGCTGCAGTCGAGGGCATCGTCGACGCTGGAGCGCGGACTGGAGCAGGAGCTGCTGCCGCCGGAGCTGACCGCCTTGCACTCGTTCTTCTCGTTGCCCGACTCAATGCCCGAGTCTGTGGGCGAGTCCAGCTTGCGGTAACGTGTGGCGCCCGAGGTCAGGTGATGGTGCAGCTGCGGATGCTGCTGATGGTGATTCACCTGCTGCTGCTGCTGTTGTTGCTGCTGGGGCTGGGGCTGTTGCTGGTGGCGGACAATGGGCGTGATTGTCAGACCGTTCTGGGTGAGATGCGCATGCGAGCCAACAATGTCCAGGTCGGCAGCACCAGAGTCCCCGCTAGAGCCGGAATTGGCGCGATTGCGCAGCGGACAGCCGCCGGAGAGCGTTGCGGCGAGCAGGGGCGCCGAGCTGGCCAGCGCCGAGGGCGCACTATGATGGGACTGGGGCGTTGTGGCGGCCTGTTGCTGCTGTTGCTGCGGCTGCTGCTGCTGTAGCTGGGTGCTGCTGGGTGTGACGTAGTCAAGGTCGGCCGACTCTGTGCTGGAGACGGAGCCCAGCGGGCTCTTGGCTGCCTCGACGTCCATGGCGTCCCAGCTGGCGGCAGGGCTCTTGCTGGCCGCATCGCCGTCCTCCATGCTCCACATCTGCTGGCGCAGCAGCTCCTTGTGCTCGGTGCGGAACACGACAAGCTTCTCGGTGTGCAGGGTGCTGAGAGTGCGCAGATCGGGCATTGTGTCGAGCAGCTTGGCCAGAAAGTCGGGCTGATCGGGTCGGTTCTGGGAGACAATGCACTGCAGACAGCCCTTCAGGCGGCTGTACATCTTCTCGATGAGCTCCAGGTTGCGCAGACCGGGACGATCCGGCGTGATCAGCACAATGGCGCAGAAGAGTCCGATCTCGGCGTCTGTCAGATTCATCGAGTTCATGCGCTCCGCAAAGTTGAACGTCGAGTCCACCAGGAAGCGGGCATTCGCTCCGTTCTGGATGGCATCGCGGCGCATCACCTGCCCGTTCAGGCAGATGATCGAGTTGATCGACGAGTCGAACATGCAAATTAGCCGCACGAACAGCGCGTCGAAGAGGCCCGCCTTCAGCAGCGTGAACTTGTCGTCCTGGGTGAGCAACTGGAAGCCGGGTATCATGCCCGCAAAGTCGATGACCCCGCGTATGACATGCGCGAAGCGCTGCGAGAACTCCTGCTCGGACTGCAGTTCGGGCGCGGGATTGAGCGGACAGGCCTTCAATGAAAGGAGAATAAAATGCGAGGGCTTAATTATGTGTTCCTTTTCAAGTCTTTACAAACTACAATTATATCGCCAAGATCCCATTGGTCTAAGTTGGCAGCTGGTTCAAATCCTAGGCGGGTGTGTCATATATTTAGCTCTTAGCCATATCCCATGCTTATTACAATAAAAATTTCACACTTTTTGCATAATGCTCAAGAGTTCGTTTTTGAAGGGTACAGGTTCAAATCCCACGCTTGTGTATGAATATGTGGATGAGCATGCAAGTGTATGGATGTGTATGAATGTGGATGAGTGTGGATGTTGTATTGTCCCGAGTTGATCATTTGTAATTAAATTTGATAGGGTGCGGGTTCAAATCCCACGATAGTGTATGAGTGTGCATGGATGAATGCATGAATGTGTATGAATGTGTAAAGATATTGTTGTATTGATGTTGTATTGTCCTGGGTTGATAATTTGTAATTATAAGGTATATAAGGTGCAGGTTCAAATATAAGGTGCAGGTTCAAATCCCTGGATATTATATGAGTGTATATGAATGTGTATGGATGTGTATGGGTGTGCATGAATGTGTATGGATTTTGAATCTTGGTGTATGGATCCTACAATAACTTTTTCCATTAACGATCTTAGAAAAGCACTAGCTTCAATAGCGAAGTGTTGCTATTTGGTGGGTGCTGGTTCAAATCCCCAAATAGTGAATGTATGAGTTTGTTTGTGTATAGATGTGCATGAATGTGTATAGATGCTGATGGGATATTGTATAGTCCTGGGTTGATGATTTGTAGTTAAATTTTAGAAGATGCTGGTTCAAATCTCAGGATAGTGTATAGAGGTGTATGAATGTGTATGGATGAGTATTGATGATGGTGTATGGCTGTTGCATTTCACTTTTTGAACATAAGTCATAATTTAAGGGGATAGGATATGGTTCCTATCTGGATTAACTTTTCACTTTTAAAACGTAGGAAAGCAAGCCGAACATTAATACCGAAACTATTTCGAGTTTAGGCTGTGTTTACTGTAGCATGCCCCCGTGGCTACTTAATTGCAAAGCATGCGGCAAGGCAAACTGTTGCATTTCCCACATCGTCATCGGCATTTTATAGGCACTATTCACGCGAAGGTCACCGAACCGCCTGGCCTCCACCTCCACCTCTACCTCCAACTGCAATCAATAATCATAACTATTAGTACTTCCGCACGCCCCCAGTCGCACACTCAGCCCCCCACAGCCACCCCTCGCACAGCCAACTCTTGCCCAACTGTCGTCAAACGTCGCATTTCCTCATACGTTCGCTGGAAGCTTTTTTATTACAAAAGCTCAGTCGACGTCAGCGAGCGCGCTAGTTAGTTTTTAGTTTCTAGGGGCGGTTCTGCGTCTCACGCTCCCGCGCGCCCTCGCTCTCTCGCTCCCTCGCTCTCTCGCTCACTCTCTCTCGCACTATCCAACTCTCTCGCATACTTTGACAATTCTGTGCTGTGTTCTGTTATTTTTTTTCCCCGTTGCTTTGTGCTTTCGTCGCCTGTCGCTGACATTAGCACCAAGGTCGACGAACCAGAGTTCAAGGTTCCGGCTAGTTGTTGTCGCTGTTATATATTTTTTTTCTATTCGCCTGCGCGTGTGCCGGCTGGGCTTTTAGATTGTCGTCGGTGCAGCGGGTGTGCGAGTGTGTGTGAGAGGGTTGGGCTGCGGGCTGAGGGATGTGGTGGGACGCGCTTACTGATTCTGACCCTATTGCTGCCGTTGTTCTGTCTATTGCAAACACTGTTCATGTTGTTTCGCTAGTTCGCTTTCCGGGTTTCGAATTACATGCACGCGCCAGACAAACGCGAACGTGTCAATCACAGGCGCCCCCTCCCACTCCCACTCCCACTCCCCCGCCAGATGTCATCTGGCAGCCTTGTTGCTCTTGATTCTTAATTTATAAATTATGTTTCATTTCACACACATTCGTACATATGTTTATGTATGTGTGTGTGTGTGTGTGTGTTTATAACTGTACAACAATCGTTCTGTTTCAACGAGCACACGTCGAAGACTTCCTCTGAATTTGTCTGATTAACCTTGAAAATTTCGCGCCCCAAAATGCCGGCCCATCCATAGTCGCCCCCTCCCCCTTCTCCGCACCAACACGATGTTGGCCTTCGCCAAGTGCAAGCAAAAGCAACAACAATATGCCGGCAACCGGCACAACAACAACGATAAGACATTTCTTTTCTATTTTCTGCACCTTTTGCCGGCACTTTGACGTCCGCGTCGGCGTCGGCATCGGCGTCGTTGTCGGCGTCGCCTTCGGATTTCGTATCATTTTATAAAAATATAATTCTTGTTGTATTTGCGTTTCATTTGCGCAAAAGCGGAAATAGTTTGCGAAATTACTAATTGCGTGTGAGTGTGTGTGTGTGTGTGTGTGTGTGTGTGTGTGTGTGGTCTCTTTATGACTACCCCCTTGCTGTTAGATCCCCCTTCATGTATGCTGCCCGTCATGCGTATCACAAGACCTTCAATTGAATTGAATTTTTGGCTGCCAAAATAATTCCTAGAATTCTTGTAGCTGATACAATCCCAAGTCTAATCAACAGTATAGAAATTGCTATATTATGGGTTTTGTATTTTGCAACCCTGGCACTTGCACTTGCTGCTGCGCTTCCGCCTTGTCTCATGTGCAGTCATAACTCAATAGAACTTTGCATAGAATGCGCGGCTGACGCTTCCTTATAAGCATTGCAATATACATATACATATTGCAATATAACCACCTGACTTATTCAAATGGACAGCGTCGTTGTTCTCGCCATCTCGCTCGCGCCCTCGCTCTTGGCACAGCCTCGCTTGCCAGCGCTTGCTCTCGCTCTCGCTCGCGCATTACAAATAACTAATAACGCTTGTTGTTGTGCTAATTGTTGTTGGCATTTTAGTTGTACGTTCTCTCTTTGGCGGCGCTTGTCGGAAAAAGTGCCGTTACCAGTCGTTGTGGCCTGCCTTTTGCATTCGCTTCCTCATGCTGATGACATTTACATTAACATTTGCGAGTGAACCGAGCCCCTCGTTGCCCGCCTGTGCCCAGCTCTATGCATATTTGTATAATTTTTATATGTATATTATTATGTAAGTATTATTGCTTACTCATATACATACATACATACGTAAGTAGTTCTATATATAATACCCATATCAACAACATGCATACATACATACATGGGAACATGCGCAAAAAAAAAGCAACACACAGGCACAACCATTTCATTCATTCCAAGGTTAAAAAATAACTCGCCACAAGGTCGTCTCGCGACTCGCATGCGAGCGTTCTAAGTGTGTGCGTGTCTGTGTGCATGTGTGTGTGTGCGTGTGATTATTCTACGCTGCAGACATGTGCAAATTATTCTTTTGGCAGCGACGCGTCTCTCTCACACTCCCTCTCCCTCTCCCTCTTACTCTCTCTCTCGCTGTCTGATCGTTTTTGCACTCTCTTTGGCTATGTAAAAAGCTCTTACATAGTTATTGCTGTCGCTGCCAGAGCCTTGCACTTGACTTTGACAATGGAAATTCTTTGTTTACTATCGCGCTCTCGGGCCGCGCACCTTATCGCACGCTCATTAACGCAACTGCCTGATAATTAGCCAAAAACAAATAGAAAGACGCGCACAACCCGCTTCCCACCCCCCTGCGTTTGATTATGTTAATGTTCAATTCGAATTTATTTAAACAGCCGCCAAATGTGCTTGACTATCTGAACACTTTCGCCCCTTCTATGCCATGCTCGCCATCTCTTTCCCACTCTCTTCGCAGTATGCATGTGTGTGTGTGTGTGTGTGTGTGTGTGTGTATGTGTGTGTGTGTGTGTGTGTGTGTGTGTGTGTGTGTGTGTGTGTATGTGTGTGTGTGTGTGGGGCTATTTTGTTCCATTAATAATGACGCTACGCTTGACCTTGAGCTTCGGAAATGTATTTTGTTATTGTCGGAACACGTTTCGCGTTTGGCTTAACGTAGCTTTTTGGTTTCCTTATCGTCCAGTTCGATAACGCTAGGGGCTTTGCCACAAATGTGGCGACTACACTTCAAAAAAATAAGTACCGCTTTGCTGGAAATAGACAGGCTACGCTCGTCACTGAGAAATTCCAGAACTAAGCAATTAGAATTCGGATATTCCCAGCCGTAATGCATCCCAGTTCTATCATTGATGGCCTTGCCGTATCTCTATGTATCTGTGCCTGTCTGTGTGAAGCCCCCGCACCTGAACAATGACGTCAGTTGTAAGCAGTTAGACAAACAGTTCAGCAGACCAACATTCGAATCGAGTCAATGACAGAATTTACAACCCATTTATCATTTGTTTGTCAGTCCGTCAGTCGCATTTGACATTGACAGCTTTTGGCCAAAGTCGAAAGAGCAGAAACAACAACAAACGTTTTAGGGCCATCAAGAACTTGACCCCAAAGCGCGACGCTTCAATGCCCCGATCTATGGCTATGGCTGTGGCTAACTCTGTCTCTGGCCATGCCGGAGGTGGAGGTCTTGCCGCATAGCAGAACAGAAAGACCGAGCGTGTGTGTGTGTGTGTGTGTGTGTAGACGCGTCTACGTGCGATGCCGTTGATTTCCTGGTTTAGAATCATGCAAACTGGTTCACCTTGGCGTATGAGTAACGCGCGCCAGCAACTAGCTTGTTGTTTATGTTGTTGTTGTTGTTGTTGTTGTTGATCTGTGCATGCCAATAAATGTGCCCCGGAAATGTGCTTGACACTCGCCTACGCGACAACCTTTTGCCACAATAGCTGCCTCTAAACTGAACTACACCCAACGCAATGGGATCGGGCAAGGGCTATTCTAATTGGATAATGTCCCAATTGGACTGAAAGATTGGCTTTCACTTACCAGCAAGGTTGGCATTGAGTACGATGGGCAGTCTCTGGCGCGCTGTCGCATCGCCGAGACCTTCTCCTTGGTGAACTCGCATGTCTCCAGATGGGCGCGCAGCACGGCGGCCAATAGGCGTGGCTGATCGTCCAATTCGGTGGCCAGGGCGCGCTGTTGGCCGCGATTCTGTGTGCTCTGCTGCATCGCGGCCAAAATGCGCGCCTTCTCTCGCTTGGGCACGCGACCAAAGCGCACAGCTGCAACGGGAAGAAAGAAGCAGAAAGGGGGCAAATTAATAACACGCACAGTTACAAGTCTTATATATATATAGGAGCTTATGTATTTAGGTGTCACACTTCGGCGAACAGGTGCAAGGAGCAGCTGTTGTTCTGTTTGTCACGCAGGAAGCGCTTGTCATACCTGTACAGAGAGCTCACTGTACAGGCGCTGGCCCTGTAATTTATGGCCAGCAACGCCCCTCACCCCGTGCCCCGCGCCCTGAGCTCTGGGCCCTGCGCTCGACAGACGCTGCCCTTCCAACTGGGTCATTGCCTGCGCTCAGCTGTCGTTCAACTCTTTTTTAATTTTTTGTGTTTTTTTTTTGGTTTCTGGACTCGTTCTTGACGCTTGCTACACTTTCTCTTTTTTCTTTTTCTTTTGTGAGTTTGTAGATTTTAATTTGCACTAACGAATTTGTATGTGGGTGAACTTTCACATTTCACCAAGCTAGCGCAGACACGTTTCTGGTCACGTTTCGCAGATCAGCGATCGGCGTTTGGCCCAGACTCTGGGCCAAAAAAGCTGTCAAAGTTGCAGCCGCTAATTGAGTGAAGTGTTTGAAGTGGGTTAAGCTGAGCTCAGCCCAGCATATGCAGACTTATCCATTTGTTCATAGGCCAAACTAACAAGCTTCTACTCTGTGCAGAAAGCAATTACAGTGGGCACTCGCTAATTAGAACTCTCAGAGATTGGCATCAAAATGCATATGCTAAGCAATTGTGCTTGATTAATAAATCATTTAAGCACATGAAAATACTTTCATCTATGTTAATAGTTAATTCAAAATTATTTTCATTTTTCTACATTTTTTCTAGAATTAGAATTACATTTTTAACATAAATTTGAATTGTTTTCTGATAAGAATCTAATTGCAGCGTTCCAATTAGCAAGCGCCCACTGTAAGCTGCGCTCTTTCTTTCAATCAATCTCTCTCTTAATCTCTCTGCTTCTTGTTAGACAGCAAATTGCCAGAGGCCTTAAGCTAATCATTAATCAAACTAATTTGAATACTTTGCCGTGTTTAGCTGAGATATTTAGGCCTGAAGTATTCATTTCCCAAAACAAATGCTGGCCAACTTTTCAATGTCAATGCAATTTCTACAATTTCACTCAGTTGCCGCAAATAACTGGCACACAACAACAACAACAACAACAACAACAAAATAGGTAACAAAAGTGAAACAGCAACAACAACAGCAGCAGCAGCAGCAGCAGCAACAGAGACCAAACGAGGCTTTGCAGATTTTTCACTACTTTTTCCACAGCAGCCGAGAAATCGCTTGACTGACTGACTGACTGACTGACTGAATGACTGAATGACTGAATGACCCAGTTGGCGGGCAGCGAAATTCAGGTCAAACGAAATGGAAAATGAACGCAGCTGCGACTGCGCGTAGAAATTGGAGCGAGCGAGCGCGCGCACAACTGAGCCAGCGACGTCTGCGCCAACAGCAGCAGCGACGCCTGCGTCTACTTTCGACGCTGCAAAGTTGGTCAAACACGAAGAGAGGCAGCAAAGCAATAGCAACGGCAGCTTTCGTTGTTTGCCGTTGTTTCTGTTTCTGTTGTAGTTGTTGTTGTTGTTGTTGTTGTTGCTTTTTAGAAAATAGCAAAAGTCGCACAAGTGGGCAACGCCGTCGCATGTCGACTGCGTCGCTGCCAGAGTTTCATTTCAAGTTTAAAGCTCTTCCGCGGCCGCACAAACAAAATAAATAAAAAAAAAAAAAACTATTATTGTGTGCGTTTAGAAACGAGGTCAACACTTCAATGGCGCTTAAAGAGTTAGTTGCTGTTGCTTGACAGCGCAGTAAAAAAGAACAAGCACAACAAAATGTAAACAAAACAAAATCAAATCTGTTGCGTGCGCATGTAAAAAGTGCTTATTATTACACATATTCAAGCATGCACTGGCTAGCTGCTGGGCTGCTCATAACTGCATTTGCTGTTGTTGTGCTCTGCGCCGGCCAATCGAAAGCGACCCGACGACCCAGTCGGACCTGGAGTTTCGAGTCAGTTCTTTGTGAGCTGATTTTGTCAACTTACGCGCATTGTGATAGTTGACGTTGCCTTTGAGTATGCCTTTCAATATTGGTAGTTCTTCGCCCATTTTAATATGTGTTTTGTTTTGTGTTGGGGCTTGTTTAATTTGACTTGGTTATGCTCTGGGCTTGTTGCATTCACAGAGTTGGCACACACCCACTGAGAGATTCAAGATTCACGTTTTGCTGCACACTGGGGCGCATTTAAATTAGGTTTGGAATATTCATTAAATTTGCTTTTGGTTTCTTTTGGCACACACAATTTATGTTTTTGTTAAACTTTGGTTAAGTATTTCTTTTTGGGGTAACTGATTTTGTTTATTTATATTCTTTCAACTTTCAACTTGTAGCTCAGGTGCTCCACAGGTAATTGCAAAAATATTTCTGTTTCCTTCGCTTGATTTGTTTTGTAAAATTTAATTTTTAAATATTTTCACTTAATATTTTCTAAACATACACGTATATAATATTTTCTTTTTCTTTTTCTTTAATCAATGCAGGAACTTTCTTTGCTTTGTTTTTTTATTTTTATTTTTTTAAGATTTAACTTTTGTTTTAAATATTTAGTTGTAAGAATAATTTTTGGAATTTCTTTTGCTGAACTTTGTAGTTGCAGAATTGATTTATATATTTTGAATTTGTGGTTTGAACTTCTTTTGTTTTACCGCGTAATCCAACAAACGTGTTTCGGGTGGAAACTGGGACTGGAACTTGAGATTTGAGACAGGTCGACTTTTCTTCACGTTAACAGAGTTGCATATTAGGAATTATATTTGCAATATGCATATTTGTTTAATTTAATTGAATTAAATTAGTTGTAATTGTTTAAGAGACGGTTAGAAGAACGTTCAAATACACATAAATCGTGGTAGAGTGTATTTTGGATTTTATTGAAATAATTCGCTAACATGACAAAACTCGACAAGGTCTCGAACGCGACTAACTGTAAAAAGCAAAGCACGTTACGAATATACCCAAAGGTAGCTGCGAGACTGAGACCGAGACTGAGTCGAGTCGAGCAACAACAGAAACAGAAACGGAAAAGGCAACTGAAAAAGCCGCCACCGTTCACAGCACAAAAAAGCGGTAGAGCCAACGACCAACGCAAAGTTCCAAAGAGAGCTGACTCAGAGAGTGAGTGAGAGCGAACGAACGCGCGCAAGAGAGCGTTGACAAAGCTCAGTGAGTAATTGGAAGGGGCCAACAAACCAGAAAACAACTGCGTCGAGCGTCAAATTCTGATAAGAACCCACGGGTTAGGCATAGAACCAAATGAGTTTAATTATAGTGAAACAATTGCTTTGTTTATAACTAACATTTAAGATATTTGTTAAAAATATTGTAATTGTTAAATTAAACTCTTTAAGTTGCAATTTCTAATTGACAAACTTCGAATTTGTATACTAAGCACACAAGCTGTAGCATAGTTGCAAGTTCAAGAACTGATAAGCTTCAAGCGCTGATAAGCTTGCAACAAGCTCTCAAGCAGCGCTTTATCATTATCTCAACATCTAGCGCAAAACGAAAGTTCAATGCTCGTGGCGCCAAAAACAAACAACAAGAAAATAAGAGCACGTTGCAACTTTCGCGCTCTTTGGCGCATGCTCTCTTGCGTGCGCTCTTAATGCTGCAAAGCTTTTCAACACACTGTGTTGAGTTTGCCGCAACTTAAGAGAGCGCCCAAAGAAGCTTTGGCGAGCTTTTTGCAACAATTTGTAGCATTTTTCTGTGGATGGCGCCAAGAAACGGATCACGCATACGCCCGGCATGACAGCGGCTGCGGCGACATGAAGTCAGCTCCCATTTCATTTGAAGGCAGCTTTGTAATGAGATTTGTTTGACGAGCCGTTAAAATACAATTTTTTGTCATTTACGTGTTTACGTTCGCTTAATTTATGACTACGCTGGCCCCAGCGTCTGCGTGCGAGATAGAGACGGAGACGAAGACAGAGAGAGATAGACATATGTAAATACAATGCAAATCGGAATTGCGGCTAGTGCATGGAGTCACGTAGCCAACGTGTGGCAGGAGCTATGTCAGGGACAGTTGCTGCAGTTGCTGCAGTTGCTCCGGATGATTCATGGCGATGCATTCAATCAAAATTAAAAACAAACTCTTGATTTATTGAGGGCAACTTTGTGGCTGAGTCAGATATTTGAGTCATTTGATTATTCAAATTGAATGCAAACTAATGCGGCGGAAGCAACAGTTCAGCGTATTTCGCACGTTGTAAAGAAACCACTAGAGCAAGAAGAGGAAGCACAAGAAGGAGCCATAACACAGCAGCAGCAACAACAACAACAACAACAACAACATTGACAAACAGACGGTCGTTGAACTCAGGCTTCGAAATGAGGCCAAAAAAACAAACAATGACGACAACGCAAACCAAACAAAAAACCAACAAAAGACAACAAAATAATTTAATAATATAAGCGAAACGAAGCGACGCTTTATTATGTTCAAGTTGTTGTCGTTGTTGTTGTTGTTGTTCTTGTTGTTGTTGTTGTTGTTGTTGTTGCACGTCATTGCCTCACATTTGGCACGCACATTTCTCGCTACGAAAGTAAAAGTGAAAGTTGCGCCGCATTTTGGGTAGAAATTTTCGTGCGTGTTGGAGAAGTGTTGGACACCGTGTTGGTTGGGCCAGTGTTGTGTAGGGCAAAGCAGTGTTGGGCTATTGCGCAAGAGCGACGCGGCGCAAAAACTGGAATATTCGACCAAGATTTTGGCCAAATAAAACGCTTAAAGAAAGTATCTAAAAGGCCACTGATAGATGTTAATGTAAAGCCACCTTTTGGTATAAATGAAAATAAGCGAGTCTTATTCTTGGTCACAGTTTTCACTGTTACCATTGTTACCATTCGAAAAGCCGTCGACTGTGCCATAATAATAGCGCATAATATTTTTCAACAATTAAAAGCCAATTAACAAGTCT